AAGCGACTGTGAGCACTACAATTTATTTTTAGAATGTACAGTAAGAAAAATAGTGGTATCTATACTCAGTTATTTAAAAAAATATCAGTGTTTATTATTTGTCTTGCATTCTCTAAAATTAGAATATGACAACATGCAACTGGGCAAAGAACAGTTCCCAACAGTCTCACTAACTATCCTCGTTAGGTTTGAAGCAGCATGAGCACACATACACCAGCACACGTCCTGAGCACACGTACACAAGGACACTGTGCAGATGTGTAGGGATGGGATTAGCAAAGTTAAGGCACAGTTGGAGCTCCATTTGGTGAGGTACACAAAGAGTAAAAGCCTTTACAGATACGCTGACCAGAAGAGTAAAATTAAAGACAATGGGCCACCTCCAGTAAATAAGACAGGAGAGCTGGTGACAACCGACATGGAGAAGTCTGATGTACTCAACAATCACCTCTCCTATGAGGAAGGCTGAGAGAATTGGGGTTGTTCAGCCCAGAGAAGTCTCCAGGGAGTCCGTATTGCAGCCTTTCCATATACAAAGGGGGCTTGCAAGAAAGATGGAGAAAGACTTTTTACCAAGGCCTGTACTGACACGACAAGGGGCAATGGTTTTAAACCGAAAGAGGGGAAATTTAGATTAAATACAAGGAGGACATTCTGTACTCTGCGGGTGGTGAGGCCCTGGCCCAGGCTGCCCAGAGAAGCGGTGGCTGCCCCCTCCCTGGCAGTGCTCAAGGCCAGATTAGACAGGGCTTGGAGCACCCTGGGCTGGTGGAAGGGGTCTCTGCCGAGGGCAGGGGGGTAGAACTGGCTGATCTTTACAGGTCCCTTCCAACCCAAACCATTCTATGATTCCATGAAACATTTTGAGATTCAAGCATCTTATTTCTCTTCGTTTTGCGGAATGCTTTGTTTTAAACATGTCTGCCAAGTACAGTGGACACTCGAATGACAATTTGATTTCTCCCAACCAGACAGAGCAATCATGGTCAATTAAGCACTAAAACAAAGTGTGAAGATCTGATTAAGAGGCTTATAGAGAGACAGATTGTGGGACCCTCTCTTACCTTAATATTTTAACAAGGGATCACAAACAGAGGGGTAATCCAGACGTTTCAAAAGACTTCACCAATTATTTTCTTATTTTAGATTAAGCAAAGTGTCAGTAGAACTGAATGCCTGTTCAGAAGAAAATTGCAACTTAGGAAATGGTAGCATGATGAAGCTACCACCCTGAGGAAGCTACACATGGATTCACAGAACATGTGCTGATTTGTGATAGTATGACACTAAATGAACCCAGACCGAATGTTAAAAAGCAAGTAACCTTCAGATAAACTTATAAAAAGTTTCTGTTTAGTAGGGACTCACTTTTCCTCAAAGGAACAGAAAACCTTATCCTTGAAGTTGAGAAGACTCTTCCACAAGTGATGACTTCACTGCTCATAAGAGAACTACATCATTAAAAGGAAGTGGCTGTAATATCAAACACTATTTTGGGTGTGAAAACTGTCAACATACTAAAAAAAATTGTCCTTCCTTAACTGGACTGTATTTGGAACAAGCCAACAATGTATACACATTCATTTATGAAATAACACGAATTCTCAGTACTCATGAAAGCAGTGCAGCCTCTTTCCTCCTCACTGTAGCCAGGGGTTCAAGTGACTTTACATTTAATAAAAAGGTCACAGGAAGAATTGAAATCCTCACTACCCAGCCATTTACCATCAAGGAATCAGCTGCCCCTGCCAATACAATCAGTTGCAAAGTAGCAAACACTAGCATGCAGCTTCAGAGTTACAGTCCCTTTGCATTAACTGGGACACTTCCACCTCAGATACTAAGTCAGGCACAGCAAAATGAAACTGCCCCTGCTTCTGAACAGTTCATATTTGAGAGATACTTTGGCCATCTTTTGAGCTGGAAAGTGAATTATTTTGGCAGTAAAAGCTTTTATTCCAAGTGAATTATGTGACAAAAGATGAATCAGACAAATTTTGTGGCTAAAGAATTTGCAGAGTCCTCATTATATGCATATAGTTAGTTATACACATTTCTGTATCTGCTTAAAAAGCAGGCTTCATTTTGCACTACCTACAGTGGCCTCACTACAACTTCACATAGAGCATGACATCAAATTCTATCTTGGATGTTAGTTTACCTTGCATCACAAGGCCACACCAGCAGAGAAAATTTATTATTTCCACATCAGCCAAAAAAGCTACAAAAATTAAAGTATATGCAAGTCTGTTTGTTACTTAATGTAATTAATTAATGTAAGCTGGCATTTGCTATTACTGTCAACCTGATCAAAGGTATGTTTTATAACATGAAATTCAATGAATCGCGTAAGAGAAGGTGCAGTTCGAACAGCTACAAGATAAATGGAAAAAGACTTTATGGAAGGAGCACCATCTTTCCTCGCACACCACTGCTGTGAATAATGTCTTCATGAGCCTTAACTACTTTCTCCAGTGGATATTCAGAGCCTACAACCGGTTTCAGCCAACCAGCTTCTATGCCATCAAGAAGCGCTGTTGCGCATTCATGCTTCTCCTCCTGCGTGTAATAAAGACAGCATTTAACACAAGGTCTTTACATTTTAGAAAAGTATTGACTATTTATGCAAGTGTTAAACCAAATTTCACAACCCAAGAATATTTTATGATGTTCCGAGATTAAATCAAAACATAAAGGAATGAACTAACATGTTACTTACAGTGAAATTGTGCTTTCATCCCTACAAACGATTTCAACCAGAAATAGAGAGGTGTTGGAACAAGCCAACAAAACATTCTTTGAAATAAAAAAGTTTCTTACCTCAGTTGCAAGAAACAGACTAACTCCAATTATGCTAGATTCTTTACTCATAGTGTCTCTTGGGTTTATCTCAATAGTACCTCTACAGCCCACAACCTGTTACAAATGAGTTAAAAGATAGTTCAAGCTATGACCGTGGAATTGGGTTGCTAAATGCACAAACTAAAGTCAGTGACAAAAAAATACTTACCATCACCCTTCCTGCACAGGACAACAGTTGCAAGTCAGTAGCAAGATTGACGTTAGAGAGCATTTCTATTATCATATCAACTCCTTCCGTTCCTGTGCATTCCTGTGTAGGACATAATATGTTATTTAAATCACTCCAGTTAGTGCTTGGGTACCACTGTTTATTTCACATGCTACAGATAACATACATTTTACAGTTTACTGTTTAAATTTTAAATACACCTCTTCTACTAAGGCTGACAGCTAGGGAGTTTAATTTTAGCCTATTTTGATATGCTGAATTATGATATGCTACCATATTGGAATTTGCTGGAACACAAGAGTTTCTAAATACCATTGCCTGTGAAGGAGGTCAGCTTTTCCAGCCTGGAAGAGTTTTTGCTTGTGTAGAAATGAAAAAGGCAGTACACTATTGCTCCTACATAAATATACTTTAAAAAACTTCTTCAAACAACTGTTCACATTTTGTTAGTAAGAAAAATACATATTGCATCACCTAGCCCTGATACATGCTTACCTTAATTTTATCAACGTAATTAGCTTCTCTGTGATTAAATGCTTGGTGAGCACCATTCCTCAGAACGACGTTCATGCCTTCCTCAGTTCCTGCTGTACCCAAAACCTTTAAACCACAAGCTCTGGCAATCTGACATGTTGCTATTCCCACCTGAGGGGACAAAAGCAAAGAAAAAAAAGAAAAAGTCTTTTTTATCCTCTTTCTTTCTTAGCATTTTAAATTTTGCATACTCTGCCAGCAACTTGGAACTTACCCATTGAAAAAGCTGGTCTGGTAACATTTTGTTTTAGCCATAATAAGCAATTTGGATCTTAAAGACAGCGAAATAGTCTTTAAAAAAGGAAAAGATATTTACAGAGGTATAGCAAAGTTTTGTGGGTTTTTTTTAATAGCTATCATATAAACCCAAGTAGAATGTTGTTTATCTGTTAAAGTTGGGCATTATATCTTTCATAAAAAGCCATGGAAATTCTTCACAGCATCACCTGCTATTGATACCAGCATTATATATTGCAAAGATAATCTGCAGGCACAAGTTTTATTAACATTACCTTTGCAGCTTTCAGAATCAGATTAAATGATATCTTTAGAAACCAAATTCTCAATGTCTCATACCAGCTTTGCACTCCAGAGATGTTTAGAGGTGAGGATGCCTTCACAGAAACCTGACAATGGAGCCAACAATCCCTCGGGGCATACCAATTGCACCTCTTGGCTTTGCTTTGTGTGACAATGCGAAAGCACCACGAGGGAAGAGTGGACACGTCCAGGTCCCTCCCTGGTATTCGGTCCCAGCTGGTCAGCTTCCTGAGGCTACAGACTCGGCAGCCTGCTGCATCAGCTAGACAGACCAGTAAAACTCCATTCTATGGCTCTCCTATCTAAATTTGTGTGTACGAATAACACAAAATAAATGGACAGGCTTCTCAAAAAAAAAAAAAATCTACAATGATCATCTGTCTGGCCAGGATCTACCCAAACTGTTTGCCAAACATGACCTTGTTTTTTCAATAGCAGATTCTCAGTTTTCAACTAAATGAAAAAAACAAACACCATTAATTAAAACATGTCATGGCCAGACTGATTTTCAGAGAAAAATTCAAAAGGAGGCACATTTGTAAGAATCATTATGGAAGTCGGCATCACTTGAAAGAAGAGATGCAGCACAAGCCATCTTTTCTTTCCAGCATGTGCTTCACACCTATACGTATCCCACTGCTTTTACAAGTGTTTCTATAACAAAGGTTACAAGTCCACAGAACAACAGATTTGCATTATATGCTTCTGCAAAGCGAAGGCAATATATCCTTTCAAGAAACATAAAATAAGGAAAAATAGAAACACTACATTTAGTTTAAGAAAAAAAAAAAAAGAGGCTACCATGCTGACTGTCATTCTAGTATCTTAGAATGAGATCTGAATTCCTCCTCATATGAGACAGTCAATCACCTTTTTGCTGTCTACCAAATAATTAAGGAAACTTTGCCCATTTATAGCAGCTGTTTGGTGCCATCAGCAGAAGCTGAGCAATGAAGTGCAGAGTACGGGGGATAAACTGAACTAGAATGTTGTATGAAAGGGATCTAAAGTTAGCTTGTCATATAACACCACAGAAAACTATTTGTTCACTTTCACACAGTATTCGGTCATGAATTTATGTATTCCAGTATTTCTCCTTGTGCAGCTAGCTCTTAGCCAGTAGGAAAAAATATCCCAGAAATGCACAGTTACTATGCACCTGTGATTACTACTCAGAGACCTTAGAACAACTTGTACATATTTAAAAGTTACAGCTTTCTGCTATTAGTTTAATCTCAGGAAGAACCGGTTATAAAGCTTCTGGACCAACTTCTCACTGCAGCAACATGTTTCTTATGTGATCCTCTGTATTAGGGGCCTTACACAAACACTCATACAGTCTCAGTTATTTGGAATAACAGAGTTTGCACTAAGAGAAAAGTATCCTAAAGCGTCTGAAATAAAAACCTAATTTTGTTAATCCATTAATTGATATAAATGTGACCACAAATCATATGGCAGACAGAAGCAGATACAAGGAAAGCAGCATTTCTTGTAACTTGTCTTCTCAAAATACTTACTCCTCCACTTGCACCGTGCACTAGCACACTTTCCCCTGCTTTGGCACGCCCTCTGAATGGAGAAACAGAAAATGTTGGCATTAGGATTGCGGCACATAATCATTAAGCATCAGACTGCATATACTGACATCAAATCTCATCTTTCACACAGTATTATTTCCAATTTATGTTACGGCTAAACAGGTATAATGAGCCTCTTTGGAAAACAAGGAGGGAAAATAAACCATATCACTTTTGAATTTAAGTAATATGCAACTATGTCAACAGGCAACTAGCAGCAAGTAACAGTCTGGTACTGAACCTCAGCTCAAGTTCTTCACTTGTCACAAATCTTAAAATAAACCACACTAGTTTTAACCATTTGCTCTATCAAACTAAAGCAGATTCCCAGCCCTAAACCCTCACCTAGCTGAGACAGTCTGGCTTTCACTCGTTATGCTGTCCTACGCCAACAGACAGGACTGTACACAAGAGAAGCTCACAAAGAGAAGAGGTGGGTCTGCTCTGCAGCACGGTGTCCATTTAATTAAGAAATTAGAGCTATTCCTGGTTTTTTTCCCCTAGCTAAAACACCAATGAGTGCTGAAAAAAAAAGTTACACGTTTTATTACATGATACTGATCAAAGAAGCTTTTTGAGGTCTGTTCTCTTAAGAAGAAATACTTAAGCGGAAAATACAGTCACTAGCTTCCAGGTAACAATTATCTGACAATTCCATCAGTATAATAAATTTAACTTAAGTGTTTTAAACATTTTCCACTCACTCATTTCCCTCCATTTTACAGGACAATGAAAATATGAGCTTCAGTATTTTAAACATTCAAAAGTGAAATGCACAAACTTAGATTTGGCACCTTACTTTTGGAAAAGAGCACGATAAGCAGTGAAGTAGGGGATTCCAATCGCTGCTCCTTGCCTAAAGTCCAATTTATCCGACAAAGGAAAGACTCTATTAGCTGCAGCAACTGCGTAATCTGCATATCCTCCAGAGATTGTACCAATGGTAAAAACCCTGTCACCTTTCTAGAAAGGAGGGAAAGAAAACAGAGAAATTAAACACTTCCCTTATTTTTTCCTTAATATACATTAAGAATCACTCCACAGAAGTTCAGGCTATTTCTAACAGCTCTCCTATTAAAAACAACCAGTTATAATTATTACAGAGAAGATTTTTATAAATGCCAATACATACAATCATTACAACACAAACAACATCATTTCATATACTTAAATCTAAGTGTCATAATCATAGCTTTTACAAACACAAAAGAAACACTTCTCATTTTTGTTTAAATGAGGAAACAAGATACACTCTTAACATACCCTAAGGTAACTAAACACTGCTGCTGCTCTTCAGCACGCGGTCCCCAGAGCAGCAGTTCAGTGGGCAGTGACGGACACGTGTGCCCAGCAGCACGCTGGCATCCTGCTGATGGAGCACAACGCCAGCCACCTGCTCCAGCCCAACACCCAGCCTCGGGCAAGGCCTGTCTGTCCCAAGACTTTCCCCCTGAGAAAATCTAAGTAAAATTACTAGACTGGACTAATAAAGCGTTTGAACAGTTTTAACAACAAATATGTAATTTATGAGGTTTTGTAAGTCAGTAAAATAAAACCTATTACCACTTTCCAAAAAAACTTTCTGTTACAGAAAGTTTTTCAGTTCTGTGTGAAATTATTGCCTCAAACCAGAAGCATCCAACTTCAAATATTTCTGCAATGCCACAAAAAAAGAGTTCTGAGCACCACAACTTGTGTACACCTGATATCATTGCTTTAAGCAGACAAACCGAAGTGCCTCTTCTGACGCCCTTTAACTCTCGGAGGTCAACAACGCTAAAGACTTCCCTGCAGTTCAGTCTGCAGGCTGGATTGCCAGTATGATCTCACGGCACGCTTTTACCAGGCGAGGAGGGCGATTGCCGCATCCCTCGCTCCCAGATTACATGATTATAAGCAATAAAGCCAGGAACAGCAGTGCAGCAATCACACAAAGAGGACACAACAGAGGACCAACAGGTTGGAGTGGGTGCAGGGGAGGCGACAGCAGTGATCAGAGGGCTGGAACCCCTCTGCTGTGAGGAAAGGCTGGGAGAGCTGAAGCTGTTCAGCCTGGAGAAGAGAAGGCTGCGGGGAGACCTTACTGCGGCCTTTCCACATATAAAGGGGGCCTACAAGAAAGATGGGGACAGGCTTTTTAGCAAGGCCTGTAGCAAGAGAATCATAAATCATAGAAAGTTTTGGGTTGGAAGGGACCCCCTAGAGGTCATCTAGTCCAACCCCCCCGCAGCGAGCAGGGACACCACTAACTAGATCAGGTTGCTCAGAGCCCTGTCCGACCTGGTCTTGAATGTTTCCAGGGATGGGGCCTCCACTACCTCTCTGGGCAACCCATTCCAGTGTTTCACAACCCTCATTGTAAAGAATTTCTTCCTTATATCCAGCCTAAACCTATCCTGTTTTAGTTTAAGACCATTACCCCTCGTCCTATCACTGTTGTCTCTACTAAACAGATTGTCCCCATCTTTCCTATAGGCTCCCTTAATGGTTTTAAGCTAAAAGACTGTATATTTAGAATGGATATAAGGAAGAAATTTTTTACATTGAGTGTGGTGAGGCCCTGGCACAGACTGCCCAGAGGTGGGAGATGCCCATCCCTGGAAGCACTCCAGGTCAGGTTGGACGGGGCTCTGAACAAGCTGATCTGGTTGAAGATGTCCCTGCTCACTGCAGGGGCGTTGGACTAGACCTCTAGATGTCCCTTCCAACTGCAACTATTCGATGATTCTATAAAAAACAATGAATTAAAACTCAGTGTATGAATACCTTGAACGTAGTCACATGTTCCCCAACACCTTCGATTACACCAGCCACATCTGAGCCAGGAGTATACGGTAAAGCTGGTTTTCTAGCATAACTTCCAGAACGAATGTATGTCTCGACAGGATTTACCCCACAGGCATGGATTTTAATTAATACCTAAAAGAAAAAAATACTTTTTAAGCAATAATTAAAAATTCACAGCACAGTATCATGGCATTTTAACTACGTTCTTAAACGGAGTCAGCAACAATTCAGTGTTGAATTGAAGCTATTTTCAGGAAATCATTTATATGGAATATGTAGCCCATATAACAGTAAAATGCCCACATTAGTTAAACGTGGTGCCTCAGGTAGTGTGAATACACTGATCAAAAACTACATATTCAAGATGCAAAGTATTGGCTTGTATTCTTCATTCTGTTCTGAGCACACCTATTATCATTCAACATCATTGTCTCAGGTCACAGAACTCATATATACCTGATTTTCTTTTGGATTAGGAATTAAGACATCCGACTGGAGTTTAAGCACTTCGGGACCACCAAATTCAAAAACTCTGACAGCTCTCATCACATTTCTCGTGGCTGCCATAGTAAACAGAATATCTGGGGGGGGGGAAGAAACAGTAATACTGTATTGCCTTCATAATTTATTTTGCATCTTCAAAACAAAGAAATCAAACAACCGTCTGTCAAGGAACTGATTAAAAAGAGCCTCACTCCTGATTTAAATTTCGGGGGGAGGGAAGGAGTTGTTTAGGTTGGGGTTTTTTCCCCCAAATCTTGCAAAAGGCAGAAAATTAACCCTACCATTTGCAGGACTTTATGCGTATTAAGACAATCACCTGCCAATAATTCACCCGTAGAAGTATTTCTACAGCATCTCCTGCGAACACTGCACTGCTGTCACGTATGCAGAGACGTACAGCACTTTGTGGACAAAAACACTGACAATTTACTGCTACACTCTGGCAAAACAGCCTGCCACATGCTGGCCGGTGGGGTCATCGAGCCAAGCGACATTCCAGTCACTGCTCAAACTTATGATTAAACTTCTAGGTAAAAAAGTAACAAAAAAACAGTCATCAGCCACCAAAACTAGAAGACACCGTAGGACATGAAAACCAGCCGGGAAAGGCTGCGGTGCAGC